TGCTGAAGCGGGGCCCCCTAGAGCCAGTTGCAATATCCATATCCAGGCAGCTTCCTAATATCTCCAGTGATGGACACTCTGCAACCTCTCTGAGTAATTTGTGCCAGTGCTCAGTTACTCTCACAGTGGAAAAGTGTTTCCTGATGTTCAGAGGGAACCTGCTTTGTTTCAGTTTGAGCTCATTGCCTCTGGCCCTGTCACTGGGCACCACTGAAAAGAGCCTGGCTCTGTCTTTGCATCCTCTCTTCAGGAATCTCTATACATTGATGAGATTCCCCCGAGCCTTTTCTTCTCCTAGCTGCAGAGTCCCAGCTCTCTCAGCTTTTCCTTGTAGGAGAGATGCTTCAGCATGTAAATCATCGTCATGGCCCCTCACTGGACTCTTTCCAGTAGCTCCATCTGTCTCTTGTACTGTGGAGCCCAGAACTGGACACAGTACTCCAGGTGTGGCCTCACTAGCACCGAGTAAAGAAGGATCACCTCCCTCAGCCTGCTGACAATACTTTGCCAAATGCAGCCCAGGGTACCATTTGCCATCTTTGTTGCAATGGTACTTTGCCGGTTCATGGTCAGACCTACGGTCCTTTTCTCCAAAGCTTTTTTCCAGCTGGGCACCCCCCAGCACATTGTGGTGCATGGACCCTGGCATACAAGATTGCATGGTGTTGTTCCTCCCCGGGACTTTTCATTTCCCATTGTTGAATTTCATGAGGGTCCTTTCAGCCCATTTCTCCAGCCTGTCCAGCTGCTGAACGGCAGCACAACCCTCTGGCATGTCAGCCATTCCTCCCAGTTTTGTGTCATCAGCAAATTTGCTGAGAGTGCACTCTGCCCCATCATGCAGATCATTAGTGAATTTCCACACATTTCTGATGGCCTTCACTAGGGTATTTCTTGAACTGAGGTAAGTTGTGTAGCCAGGGGTGTAAACTCAGGTTTCCAGAGTTTACCTACTCCTGGTTTGTTCAAAATAAACTTGATATACCTACTGCCTGACAAGAAACACCACTGAAATGAGGTCATTCGTCCTTGTATTTTGTATTACAGACGTGGCTGGAGTTTTTGTGTGTTGTCATGTCCTCCTGGCTGTGATTTGGTGTGAGTTGTAATGTGTCTCGTGCATGCATGCACATCATTTTTATAAACCAGCAACTCATGATTATTCCTGCATTTCTACCCTAACCTTAGCTGAAAGAGAAAATACCTGTGTAAGAAGTATATAAGAGCTTGTGTGCAGTAATGTGCTTTTAAGAAGAGCTGCCTGCTGTGGCAGCTTCTGAACCTGTAGTATGCATCTCCATGAGATGGCTTTCTGTGGTTTCAGATCAATTTCAGAAACTGAAATTGAAATTGATCAGAAATCTGAAATTGATATAGTGTGATGCACTTACAATCTGGATGTGGGGAGAGGTTGAAAATACAACTAGAAACAAGGAAAAGTGGCAGCCAGGAAAGGAGAGCTTGGCCACAGGATAGGAGGAATTAACATAGGAGGCGGGCAGAAGCTGCTTTTTTGATGGGCACAACTTTAATGCATGTTGTCATGTAGCTTCCATTAAAGTATCATTGACTTGGGGGGTGGCTGGGGTGTGGGATGGCGTGTGAAGGGCACCAGATGGTGCTAACAGCCAGTGCTGTATATAAACGCTGTATACGAAGGTGGTGTCATTCTGACCTTCTTGCCTCATCCATTGGCTGGGATGCCAGAGGATTGAAACATTTTGTAAGTTTTTGGAGTGGTTTGGTGGTTTGGTAATCAAAGACTGGAGCTGGTGTAAAGAACAATGTAGTAAGGAGCTTTCTCATTTGTTTTGTTTTTCTGGATTTGTTCTCTCTTTGTTCATCTAAGGAGAAAAAGATATTATTTGTGTAATTAACACGCAAATAGGTTGCTTACGAAACTGCAAGTTTCGACAGTAATGACCTTGAAGGTACTTTTCTGTAAGGTATAGACAGCAAGACTTCAAGACTTTGTATTGCAGCCTTCCAATCTGTTACTTCTAGGAAGGTGAGGTTATCCTGTCATCTTCTGTTGTTTTTCCCTCTCCTTCACACAAGATATCAGTTGCCACAGTATCATTTGTCACAGGGTATTTATTTACTAGGAATTCCTGAGTGGCCACCAAACAACCAATTGTATGAATCCATGCTGACTAAGGGAAAAAAGGCAAATAAATGACGTATCTCATAATTTGACATGTATGTAAGCTGATGTTGCTGCCAGAAACAGCAATAAAACCCTAGAAGGAGAACACAAGATAATCTTTCCTCTCTTGTATTCTGCTTAGACTTTGTTCTGACATACTTAAGAGCCCTTTTAAAATTCTTGTAGATAAGAAAGCATATTTTCAACACCCTAGATGAGATGCATATAGTTATTTAATACTGAGAGCTAGAGTAGCTTTACTTGTAATGAGATATTTCGATTGTTCAAAGGGTTTCCATTTTAATGGATATTACTGAAAATCAACTAGGATAATTAATTTAGAAACCTATGGCTGAGAAGCAATATGGTCTTTAATCACTTTTGTATGACCTAAACGAGGAAAAACGTGCTCAAATATTCATGAAGATGGGACTTATGGCTCTGAGGGTAAAAATCAGTGTAAATCACAATTTTGCAAAACTTCTGCCATCTAATATGTTTGGAACAGAGTACATGCATTGAAGTTTTAGGTATTTTAGTATGACTTCACTCTGTTGTGCACCTTTCATAAATTACAATCATGTAATCTTCAGTTTTAGATAAATGTATGAGACCATTTTTCTTGCCATGAGTTTACTGCATAACTGCATATTATTAAACATTTTAAATGTGAAATAATGTGGAGCATTTCAAAATGTACCATTCAAAGGTTCAAATAAACAGTATATTAAAGCACTTCATTTTTTTCATCTATTACTGCACATAAATTCAGTACAAAATATATTGTATTGGAGTTTTCCATTGTTTTTCCTTTTGTTACTTTTTTTTTTAATACATGTCTTTGTATTTGGTTGATTGGTAACTTTTGGTCTTGATAGTCACAGCTGTGCCTCGTCTGGCTTATACATATTTATTCTAAATGCTATGTGGTAAAAATCTTACTCCTTTGGGGCTGGTGGCTAGATTGCTATAGTGATCTTATTACTGTAATTTTTGCTTTACACAGTGGTTCAAAATTCTTTTCTCAGTAGTGATGTGTCCTTGCCATGTATACATAATTTCTCTGTGTGTTTCAAGGAAAAGCATTTCTAACTGCTGCCTTCATGTGGATAACTTGTCCTAGAATTTTAAGTATTCTTCTTCTGAAGGCTGTCTGCTGCACATATCTTTTCATTCTCCCTTTTTTTTTGGAAACAATTCCTACCTGGTGTATTTAATATATAATATTTGTGTATGTCTCAAACAGGTCATTAGTGCTTTTTTTTTCCTTTTAAAAGAAGTGGAAGTTTTTGGAAGAATGCAGTAAAATTTTTTAGTGTAAACAGTTAAGAGTGTAACATAGGAACAGGAAACTTGGTCTTCTGCCATTCATGCAATAGATAAACTAAAATATCTTCACCTGTTTTCCCTAGAAGATGAAATTAAATATAATGTAAAAGTAGCAGGAAACCTTTTCTATCTTCTATAACATTGTTAATTAATTAGGTTTCAATTTTGATCTGGAGGAACTAAAGCTAATCTTCTTGTCCTAGACCTAGTAACGTTTCAAAACCTTATCAACTGATTATACTCCAGAGGGGTTAAAATAGTACTAGCTTGCCTCATTATCTGCACTTGAAAATCTTCAGCTTGCTGTGCAAATCTATATTAAAGCCCCTTTAATGGGTCCAATTGAAAGAAGCATAATTCTACCTTCAAGCATTAATTAACACTAATAAATTTTTCTTAACTTTTGTACCTTCAC